TTCATGACCAAAGCACCAAAAGCATTGGCAACAAAAGCCAAAATAGACAAATGGGACCTAATCAAACTCCACAGCTTCTGCACGGCAAAAGAAACAGTCACTAGAGTGAATTGGCAACCAACAGAATGGGAAAAAATTGTTGCAGTTTACCCATCTGACAAAGGGCTGATATCCAGAATTTACAAAGAACTGAAACAGATTTACAGGAAAAAAAACAAACAAACCCATTCAAAAGTGGGCAAAGGATATGAACAGACACTTTTCAAAAGAAGACATACATGAGGCCAACAAACATATGAAAAAATGCTCATCATCACTGGTCATTAGAGATATGCAAATCAAAACCACATTGAGATACCATCTCACGCCAGCTAGAATGGCGATCATTAAAAAATCTGGGGACAACAGATGCTGGAGAGGATGTGGAGAAATAGGAACACTTTTACACTGCTGGTGGGAGCGTAAATTAGTTCAACCATTGTGGAAGACAGTGTGGCGATTCCTCAAGGCCTTAGAAATAGAAATTCCATTTGACCCAGCAATCCCATTACTGGGTATATATCCAAAGGACTATAAATCGTTCTACTATAAGGACACATGCACACGAATGTTCATTGCAGCATTGTTTACAATAGCAAAGACCAGGAACCAACCCAAATGCCCATCGATGATAGACTGGACTGGGAAAATGTTGCACATATACACCATGGAATATTATGCAGCAATCAAAAACGATGAGTTCGTGTCCTTTGTAGGAACATGGATGAATCTGGAGAACATCATTCTCAGCAAACTGACACAAGAGCAGAAAATGAAATACCGCATGTTCTCACTCATAGGCGGGTGATGAACAGTGAGAGCACATGGACACAGGGAAGGGAGCACTACACACTGGGGTCTATTGGGGGGAATAGGGGAGGGACAGTGCGGGGTGGGGGAGCTGGGGAGGGATAGCCTGGGGAGAAATGCCAAATGTGGGTGAAGGGGAGGAAGGCAGCAGAACACACTGCCATGTGTGTACCTATGCAACTACCTTGCATGTTCTGCACATGTACCCCAAAACCTAAAATGCAATTAAAAAAAACAAAAACAAAACAAAATGTGCCCAAATAGGGTGAACACTGAGCTGAACCAATCCAGCTGTTTCTTACCTCACTTCTGTTTTCTGTACATCTCTTTCCTTTTTCTGTCCATAAATGTTATTCAGCCATGTGGCAACCCCAGAGTTGTTTGGAAACTATTCTGGCTCTGGAGGCTGCCTGATTCATGAATTGATTTATTGCTCAGTTAAACGCTTACATTTGTCTAATTTTTTTTTTTTTTTGAGACAGACAGAGTCTCACTCTCTCGTGAAGTGCAGGCATGATCTCGGCTCACTGCAACCTCCGCCTCCCAGGTTCAAGTGATTCTCCTGCCTCAACCTCCTGAGTAGCGTGGACTACAGGCACATGCCACTATGCCCAGCTAGTTTTATATTTTTAGTAGAGACAGAGTTTCACCACGTTGGTCAGGCTGGTCTTGAGCTCCTGACCTCAAGTGATCTGCCTGCCTCGGCCTCCCAAAGTGCTGGGATTACAGGCATGAACCACTGAGCCCTGCCCATTTTTCTTTTAATAGAGACATTAGTGATCAAAACTGAGTTAAAAAAGCATTACCCTTGTGGAATTTATGTTCCAGTAGGTACAGAGAAATAAAAAGTAAATGTAAAAGTAGCTAAATTGTTTAGTTTGTTACAAGATGCTAAGTGAAGTGGGAAAAATAGACTGGGGGAATGGTGGTACTATTTTGGTGGTGGAGATAGTTGTAATTTAAAATAGCATATCAAGTTCAGTCTCTTGAGAAGGTGAGATCTGAGCAAAGATTTTAAATTGGTGAAGGTGTTAATTATGTGGATATCTGGCGGAACAGCTTTACAGGAAGAGGAAACAGCCAATGAATGCGGACTTGTTTTTTTTTTTGTTTTTGTTTTTTTTTTTTTTCAGAAGGACCTTGTGGTAACAAAGGGTGGTGGGGAGACAATATAGGGTCTTGTGACCGTTCTTTTTTTTTTTTTTCCCTTGAGACAGAGTTTTGCTTTTGTTGCCCAAGCTGGAGTACAATGGTGTGATCTCGGCTCACTGCAACCTCTGCTTCCTGGGTTCAAGCAATTCTGCCTCAGCCTCCAGAGCAGGTGAGATTACGGGTGCCTGCCACCTGTCCCCCCCAGCTAATTCTTGCATTTTTTGCAGAGACGGGGTTTCATCATGTTGGCCAGGCTGTTCTCGAACTCTTGACCTCAGGTGATCCACCACCTCAGCCTCCCAAAATGCTGGGATTATAGGCGTGAACCAGCACACCTGGCCTTTTTTATTCTGAATGAAATGGGGAGCACCTGGAGGGATTGGGGGTACAGAAGTGACATGATCTGACTTGTGCTTTAACAGACTCCTCCAGCTGTGTATTTGAGAATGGTGAATTCTGTGGTTTGAATTCTTGTCCCCTCCAAAACTCGTGTTGGAATTTGCCATTGTAACAGTATTGAGAGACGGGGGCCCTTAATAGGTGATCAGCCAAAGAGCTCCAACCTTCTGGGTGAGGTTGATGCTGTCATAAAAAGGTGACTTTGGGCTGGGCATGGTGGTTCACGTCTATAATCAGCCAAGGTGGGCAGATCACCCAAGGTTGGGGGTTCCAGACCAGCTTGACCAACATGGAGAAACCCTGTCTCTACTAAAAATACAAAATTAGCTGGGCATGGTGGCATGGCCTATAATCCCAGCTACTTGGGAGGCTGAGGCAGGAGAATTGCTTGAACCCAGGAGACGGAGGGTGCAGTGAGCCGAGATAGCACCATTGCACTCCAGCCTGGGCAACAAGGGTGAAAACTCTGACTCAAAAAAAAAAAAAGGTGACTTTGGCCCCCTCTCACCCTGCTTTTGCCCTTCTGCTTTCCCATGGTGCAGCAAGAAGGCCCTTGCCAGATGTGGGTACCTTGATATTGGACTTCCCAGCCTCCAAAACTGTTAGGCCAAGAAATATCTGTTCATTATAAATTATCCAATCTCGCTGGGTACAGTAGCTCATGCTTGTAATCCCAGGACTTTGGGAGAGTAAGGAAGGTGGATTACTTGAGGTCAGGCGTTTGAGACCAACCTGACCAACATATTAAAATACCATCTCTACCAAAAATACAAAAAATAGCCAGGCATGGTGGTGCATGCCTGTAATCCCAGCACTCTAGGAGGCTGAGAGATGGGAGGATCACTTGAGTCCCAGAGTTCAAGACCAGCCTGATCAAAATAGAGGGAACTCCCCATCTCAAAAATAAACACAGAAAGGAAAAAAAAAGCCAAGGGTTTGGGGTTCTACAAGCCAAGGAAAGAGTCAGAGGTCTGACACTAAGTTCTTCCCGCCATAAGCTTGGTACTCTAGTGACGATTTGAGGAGCAGCAGCAGCACTCAGGAACTGCATCACAGGCCACTATGTCAGTCTGCAGTTTAACAAGATCCCCCGGTGATTCATTAGTAGAGTTTGAGAAGCCTTGAATTATGCCACTCTGATGTAATGTGGACCCAAACCACATTTGGGTCCCTTGGTGAGCCAAGGGCAAGGCTTACTTTACAGAATCCTTCAGCTGACGCCAATTGCTTTAAAGTGTCAATTTAAAAAATGCTAATTAGCTTTCTGTCCTAAAAAAGCTCATAGGCTTCTAAAAAGGGTCATCTCTGGAAATGTTTTAGTTATGAAATCATGTGAAAGTCATTGGGATTCCTTTTCAGGGCTTTATCTAAAGCCAATTCAGTAACTGTATGAAACTCAGAACTGTTCCATGACATACTATTTGTATAGTGTTTTTTTGTTGTTGTTTTTGAGACAGAGTTTTGCTCTTGTTGCCCAGACCAGAATGCAATCGTGCCAACTTGGCTCACTGCAATCTCTGCCGCCCAGGTTCAAGCGATTGTCCTGCCTCAGCCTCCCAAGTAGCTGCAATTACAGGTATATGTCAACACACCCAGCTACTTTTGTATTTTTAGTAGAGATGGGGTTTCTCCATATTGGTCTGGCTGGTTTCAAACTCCCAACCTCAGGTGATCTGCCTGCCTCGGCCTCCCAAAGTGCTGGGATTACAGGCGTGAGGCACCACGCCTGGCCTGCATAGTGTTTCATCGTCAGCAAGTACATTTCCTGTAATGACCACAAGAATTTATTATTGGGATTCAGGTAAATTGTCTAAAGTCATATGACCAGTAAGAGCAGGACTACGACAGTTCTTTTGACTTCCCTTCGTGCTTGTTTCACTATACAGTTGACCCTTGAACAACAAGGGATTGAAGCATGGATCCACTTACCTGTGGGTTTTTGTCAATAAACAGCCCTCTGCATTGATGGGTTCCACGTTTACAACAAAATGTGGATAAAAACACGGTATTCCACTGGGCGTGGTGGCTCACACCTGTCATCAAAGCACTTTGGAGGCCAAGGCGGGTGGATCACCTGAGGTCGGGAGTTCAAGACCAGCCTGACCAATATGGTGAAACCCCATCTTTAAAAACAACAACAAAAAAACCCCACGGTATTCCATCAGGATGCGAAACCCACAAATACAGAGGTTTGACTCGGTATCTGCTGGTTCCAGAGAATTCCTCAGGGACTTGTGGTCCTGGAACCAATCTCCCGTGGACACTGTGGGCCAACTGTATAAGCCTTTAGAATGTAGCAAATACCATAAACTATGGAGCAAAGCAATAGTTTCCCAGAGATGGAGTAGCACTGTATTGTTGGTTCTTAGAGATCTACACTTGGAGTTATCACAAAGAGAAGCCACTACTTCTACACTTGGAGAACCTTGAGTCTGTCCTAAACTTTATTCTTGAAGGGCTTATAGTTTTTTTTGCAGAGGGTAGGGTGGAGGTAGGAGCATCAGTGCGCTCCTGCAGTGACTTTCCCGAGCAGACAACTGAAATCATTGTGAATCAAACATGTATAATCCTAGCTGAAATAACATGTAAAGCTTTGGAACTATTTTAAGGATGTGTTTATTTACAAGATACAAATGTTTAATATTTAATAGGAATTAAAGTGCTTAATTTTACAATGTTTCTAATTATCTGCTTTTATGACCAAATATACATATGTTACACAATATATACATTATCTGCAAGTATTTTACATTCATATAGCTAGAGAAGAAAAACTATTTGTGTATACTTTCACACTAGTCAACTGTAAAATTCCAGTAACATACATTCTCAAACTTAGCAGTCAAGAATTCAAAAGAAAAATCCAGATATGCTTATTTTATTTTTTTGAGTCAAAGTCTTGCTCTGTTGCCCAGGCTGGAGTGCAGTGGCACAATCTCAGCTCACTGCAACCTCCATCTCACGGGTTCAAGCGATTCTCCTGCCTCAGCCTCTCAAGTAGCTAGGATTACAGGCATGTGCCACCAACCACACCGGGCTAGTTTTTCTATTTTTAGTAGAGACAGGGTTTCGCCATGTTGGCCAGGCTGGTCTCGAACTCCTGACCTCAAGCTATCTGCCCCCCCTTGGCCTCCCAAGTGCTGGGATTATAGGCATGAGCCACGATGCCTGGCCTATGCTTATTTTAAAACGACAATTGTCACTCACAAAATGAAATGCTAGTATGGTTTAAAAAAAAAAAAAGTCTTATATACAGACATGACTGTTTTGCTCATGAAGAGAACCCGCCCCCAAGTGATACATTCCAGTATCCACATAATGCGATTCTCTTATAATGGTCCCCACAGACTAGTTTCTTCCCAAACCTCTATTTCACTATGTATTTGGTATTCACTTATTAAAATACGATATGAGATTTCTTACGTTTTTCCACTAAAACTACCACAATGAATTTTAGGAAAAGGGGTTGACCATTATACCCAGTGACCCCAACAAGTTAAAAACTATCTTGTAGAAGCCATGTGCTATTTCATCTCAAAACACACGAAAAGATACTGCATTCTGCCAAATGCTCAGTCCAGGAAGAAGACCATGATTGACTTCAGATTTTTTTTTTTTTGTCTTAGTAAACAGTACAGAAAATGATCTGAGAATGAAATTACTTTTTAAAAGTCCAAAAGACTAAAAAAAAAAATAAAGTTCTGGTTGAGTAAAAAAAATAAAAAAAGCCCAAAAGACAAAAAGAGTAACGAGATAGCATAGTCTATAATTTACAGGCCAAGGTAAAAACCTGGGTGCAATGGATCCCATCAGCATGTAATCACATAGATTTATATTTTATATCCCTTCTGCAGTTAAAATATTTCCTCTTATCTCAATGGATCCCATCAGCATGTAATTACATAGATTTATATTTTATATCCCTTCTGCAGTTAAAATATTTCCTCTTATCTTAAAATACATTGCTGTGGTCTGGAGACCAGCAGTCTCTCTTCTCATCTCTCTTCATTCTTGCTTGTTTCCTTCGGTTTCTTATCTTATTCCTCTCTGCCCTCTCTGTAATGAAAGCAAAGTTATCTTCTCATGACTATGTGATTAAGGGGCATAGATAAGGATGAATTATACATAAAGATCCATGTAAATAATTTATGTTAAAATATTTAAGTTAAACAATTTCGAAAGAAAAAATTCATTTCTATGGAAAGACAGAACTGCAAATCAACAGTGTTTTTACATATATACAAATATGTATAAATTCACAGAAAGGGTTTTTTAAGTTGACCTAGTGGTCTTTATGTATCATAGTCATTTTCTAAAGCTGAGAATCTATAGTACATAATAGTATGAAAATAACAAGTAGTTTGATTCTAATAAAATTGGTAAGAACGAGGAAGCAACATGATCCACTACAGATGTCAACACAGTCCGAAGAACAGGAACTGGCTTGCCACAGTTCATATACTAATACATTCTTGGAGAATACACAATTTAAGAATGAAAGCATTAAGACATTTTTGCCTTTTGAATTAATTTTAGCTTATAAATATGTGCTTAATCTTAGACCCACAAACATAAACATCATGTGATATAGGAAATCTTCATGAATCTACTCTGCATCAGAGCAAAGATACCTGTACAAACTAAGACGTCTGTTCCCTAGAAGTTTACTTGCTCCTGTTGGTGCTTGCTACTCAGGATGTATCTAGTCCAGAAAGATCATCAGAAATTTATCACAGACAATATGCTCAGATTAAGAACTTAAGGCTCTGAATATAACCAGAAAACAAAAGCAACCACCCTGTTTCCAAAAAGTAGGGACAAGGAAAAGTAAAACAGAATTGTGAACTCATGAAAGTATTTTTGATAAAAGTTTTTAGAAGGCATCAAAGAATCTTTAACAACCCTGCAGTACCACAAACTATCGTTTTCTTTATACATTTATAACTAGAACAAGTGCTCTTAAAAAAAAATCCAAATGTGTGTGTATATATATATATGGGGAAAGGGTACATTTAAAAGGTGACTTTCTGTAAAAAGTTTGATAATTTTTTTAAAAAATTGAAGTCACCTAGTAAAGATAAGTACACAAACCTGATGTGAAAATTAAACTTCATGGAAAACAAAATGTGCTTTGTCTATCCATGTTCTTTGTTAAAGTAAAAATGTTCTTGATAGTTACTTAAAATCCAAGGAATGATGCCCCTTCCCATTTCCCTTCTTTATATTCCACAATTTGAACTACCGTAACACTAGAAAGCTAGTAATTCTCTATGTCCTTGTGGCAAGGGGCCTTCATATCAAATTTTCAGTATAAAACCATACCCTGAAGAGTTTTATTGCTTGCATACATGATGACACTGTGGATGCCATTACTACAAAAGTGGCTGGTGTTTTTTCTTATCAAGCCCCACTTAAAACCGAGATAAAAGTCTGCACTATATTTCACACTTAACATGCCAAATGGTAGACTTTCAACAAAAGCAGAATTTAAGCTTAAAATATTGGAATGTTTTGTAATGAACAGCAATTTTGTCAAGGAAGTACTTTTTAAAGTTTGGAGGAAGGGCACTTTAAAGAAAAGATGACTTGGCAAGCACCGAATGAGTGAAAATAAAGAATTAAGACCCACAGGGAATGTTGGTTTTAATGGGAAAGCAACTAATGATTTGTTTAGGTTCAGTTTGTCATGGCTGCTCAAATATCTTGGAAAGGAAAAGGTGTTGATTATTCTCATCATCAATCACATTTTGAGGTCTTTTGGTTGAATTGTTTAATAAATGGCTAAGGGTATTCCTTTAACCTTCATTGAGTAAAAACATCAGTGATGCTTTAATAAGAGAGAAGCGGGGAAGGCTGTTTCACTGCTTCTCTTTGTGTTTAGCTGAAGAATGTGAGGTGGAAACTGAATATGGTGATGGGAAAACCAGAAATTCTCTTCTAGTACTAACGATTCTCATTTAAAAAATTAAAGATAGCCGGGCGCGGTTGCTCACGCCTCTAATCCCAGCACTTTGGAAGGCCAAGGTGGGCGGATCATCAGGTCAGGAGATCGAGACCATCCTGGCTAACACAGTGAAACCCCATCTTTACTAAAAAAAAAATAATAATAATAATAAAAAAATTAGCCAGGCGTGGGGGCACACGCCTGTAGTCCCAGCTACTCAGGAGGCTGAGGCAGGAGAATCACTTGAACTCAGGAGGCAGCGGTTGCAGTGAGCCGAGATCGAGCCATTGCACTCCAGCCTGGGTGACAAAGTGAGACTCTGTCTCAAACAAAACAAAACAAAAAGAAAAACAAAAGTAAAGATAATGACTGTTAAGAGCATGATAATAAACATTATCTTTACGTGAATATTCATTCTTTCAATGATCTAAGTTAAGTAACATTGATATTTATTGAGCCAAAACTTAAGTGTGTTTATATTACTTCAGTAGGGAAAGTTTAGTATTCTTGCTTTTAAAAATAGTTTTCAAAAATAATTTGACTAATAAATCTTCCCACTGGCCCACACATTACCATTGTTCTATCCACACTTACAAAAGTCATCTTCCCCTGCTCATCATTCTGTATTTCCATTGCTTCTCTTTTCTTGAGATTAAGCATCATTTATAGCTATAATTTTCTAAAAAACCACTCTGAGTATATATCACACAAACACACACACCATTGGCCATTAAAAAAAAGAAGCAATGTAAAATTTCTTTAACCTTTCTCTGATTTAATAGGGCCTAAGAAGCTACTTTGATCTCTTTTTGGCTCCATGTATTTGGTTTAATGTTAATGATCATGGCTGATATTCCTTTGATGGAGGAAGGGAACCTAATTACGTCAGCAATAATTGGTTCACTTGCTCCTATGGGGTGGAAAAAATAAGAAATATCTTAAAGTAACAAGGCCTGAATAAATGTGTGGCAGTCTCAAATTCTATTCTACCTCTAAGGTGTAATTCTTACATACTAAAGATAGTGGGGTCATTCTTAGAGATTTCTAGCAGACTGGTACATTAAAAAGTGAGAATGTTTGGGGTTTGACAACATAAAAAACATGTTTAATTTGAGAAAAGGATTAAGTTACATAGTAAACTTAGTGTGAGATTTTAATCAGAGGTACAACAGAGTGTAGAGCAGCCTTCATGACAAGGAATCACGTGACCAGCCCGTCCCAAACATGGGTTATCGCATGTGGATTTTGTTTCATTCTGACAAAGGAATAGGCCCACACAGATCTTAAGTGTTCAGTGTATATAGAGTCCTCATTTAACCATGCTTGACTACCTTATGTAAAAGAAAAACATTACAATGAACGTGGTTTCCACATACCCTAGTTCTGTAAAAGGGCCGGGTGTCTCCTAAAGTTCGGGTTTTGATGAAAATTTCTGTACATGCTGATGTTAACTACAGCAACAATTTTAGGATCATAAAAGGTAAAACAACCTATATGACTCTGACTGTCCCAGTGACCGAAATGCACTTTAATCTTAAAATAATCAAGACTGAAGCTTATAACTAAACCCTCATCTTATATTAATAGCACCTTCTAAGAGAGGCACTGTTTTAAATAGGCACAGAAACAAAAACTGGTGCTTTAAACATACTGTTGGAATTCACAAATGTATCCCATGCCACATAAATTACCACTTATTATAAAAATATCCGTACCCTCAAATGCCAATCAGTTAAACATAATCACCAAAACATTTCTTCAGTTTAGAACATTGCTCAATTCTAAGATAAACCATGCTTTATATTTAAAAAATAAATTAGAAATGAATGTGAACCCAAAGCTAAAGAGAAAAGCATGTATAGTGTATATATATTTAATACTATATATACATAATTACTATATACTTAAGATATTCTTAGAAGTATTTCTATAAAACAAGTTCTTTTCTTCATAAATTGAAAATCTGAACACCAACAATTGTCCTTTTTGTTTTAAAAGAACAGACATCATTTATGCAGCTAGAGATTTATAAACTAAATTAAATAAGTTAATACAATAGCCTAAACTGTCCCTGTATTTTTCACCGTGGATCTATTTTGGCAACATGGAGGTATATCTTTCAAACTGTTACAGGTCCTACGTATGAAAGAGAAGAAGACATTAAAGGATTTCTTAAATCAAAGTGCTCATTCTAACCTGACGGTGACAGAATCAATTGATACCATTTTCTTCAAGACAAAAAAGCACGTATTCAAGGAATAGCTCAAAAATGGTCCAGTTTTCACATTATTTCAAAACTTTATCGGTAGAATGACTCTGTACACTGCTTTCACTGGGAGTACATAAACATAGAAAAACAATCCTCAAATGATGCATTTATGAACCTGTATTCTTCAACATAAAGTGCTAGCAGATGAGTAAGAAGAGCTGGGAATGTCTTGAGCTTTACGTCTTGAGACCTCCGCACTGTGGCTGGTCCTGGATGAGTTCAGCATTCTGATTTTTTCTTAGGTTCAGGATGATCATCCAAGGTGCCTGGATGCTCATTTGGACCATCTGGTGTCTCACCTGTGACAGCTAAAAGGATAACTTTCAGCCACTTATGCTTCAGTTCCTCGCTGTCTGCAGCAAAACTGTGCACAGACTTAGACTGGGTCAGTTTGAAACTGTGTGGCAGGTCTGCACTCCGTGGCATGTCATCTACCACATAGCCCAGAAGCGGAATGGTGGCCTGGGCTCTGACGTCCTAAAAAAAAAACACCAGACATTAAGAGCAGGAGATGTATTTGCTTACTAAGTGTGTCCCTTGTTGCTACTAAACCTTTCTTCCTACCACTGTCCCAAACAGACTCAAACAGAGTTCTCCACGGGCACAGCGGATAATCCCATTGCTTAGTACAGAGACTGTATGTGAGGCCACTGATAATGTTAGCTGAATGAATGAGAGCTGACGCCCAAATCAACTAAGACTCAGAGACACTAAACTCTCCTCTCTGTGAAAGAGCCCGTTCAACTCTTCATTAAGTGAAAAGGGGAAGAAAACAATCACCATCATACTATTAAACCAGCAAACATTAATGATAATCTCATTACTAAAGGCAGTTTTATCTGGTGATTTGTTCATTCCCTCATCAGCTTATGGAAATGGAAAGCTTATAGGAAAAGCAATAAAGAAGAATAAGCTATGTAGACTGTCATTTTTAGTCTATTTTCAAAATAAAATAATTTTTACCAGCCCTTAATATATAGAAGAAAATACGACAGATATATTTAAATTTTTTATATTTTCAGAGTAAATGCATAACTGGTTTAAGTGTTGTACATTTGATTCTTCAAGCACAACACAATCATAGGACCTGGTGCTGCTCTTGTTAGAAGCTAAACCTGCATATCATTGTCCCCACAGATTTATCTCAGATCCACATACATGGGATTCTTAAAAAAGCTGTTACTGAATGATAATACAAGATTGATTTTAAGTTATCCGTCCTTGGATGAACTTCTTTTCAACTATCTATCCATTAAGCAACAAATAAAATAAAAAAACAAAATTGGCTGAGCATGGTGGCTGATGCCTGAATTCCCAGCACTTTGGGAGGCCAAGGTGGGTGAATCACCTGACGTCAGGAGTTTGGGAGCAGCCTGATCAACATGGCGAAACCCCGTCTCTACTAAAAATATAAAAATTAGCAGATGTGGTGGCGAGCACCTGTAATTTCATCTACTCAGAAGGCTGAGGCAGGAGAATCACTTGAACCCAGGAGGCGGAAGGTGCTGAGCCGAGATGATGCCATTGCACTCTAGCCTGGGCAACATGAGTGAAAATCCATCACACACACACACACACACACGCACACACACACCACAACAACAACAAAAAAAAACAACTACAAAATCAAAGAGTCTTTTCTTAATGTTTCCTGTCATTAAAAAGACTTGTTTCCCCATCTTGCTTTCCCTCCTCTTCATACTCATTCCTAATTCAATTCATCTTTTCCCAAACCCATTGAAGAAAGGGAGAGACAATCCAGACTGAAGAAAATATGGGCTATAAAATGAATCCATCAACTTAAAAAACAAACTTAAACTTTACTCATTATTTTTCAATTTTAGTGAAACAGTGAAGCTCTTGCTCTACAGATTTTGAGTCCACTGTCCACTCGCTTCCCCCTGCCCTCAAGGGCATCTGTCCCTGCAGACAGATGTGGTTAGATACCTGGGGGGCACCATACATGTACAGCACAAGGGGGTCTTGCTTGGGGATCACACACCAAGCTTTCTGCCAAGGTTTCGACTTCTCCATATACTGAAGAAAGCTGCATACAACACTGTTTCCAGATACTTCTGCTGATTCAATCTAGATAAATATAATGGAAAGAGAGAGAATGAACACATAACGAACCAGATAAAGAAGTCATTCAATTAAAGGGAAATATTCACAAAGTACATGTTTATATAAAATGTCTCCCTGGACTATCCAAAAAATATTCATGTGCAATTATTGTTAAAACATTTTAGCATGGAAAAGATTTAAGCCAATTTTAGCACCTTTGTATAACTAGATCTTGAATTTAAAGAGTTATATATTTATTGACTGCTTATTATGTAAGCACTTTTCTTAGTTCAATACATGTATTATTTCATTTAATCCTCAATCAACACTAAGAAGTTAGTACTTTCATTTTCTCTGAGGCTCAGAGTTTAAATAGCTTTCCCAAGATCACACACTGGCATGCTAGGATTTGAACCTAGAGAGTCTGGATCCAGAGCCTGAACTCTGATCCTCTGCCTCAGCCTCCCAAGTAGCTGCGAGATAATTTTTCCATTTTTTTGTAGAGACAGGCTCTTACTATATTGCCCACATTGGTCTTGAAGTCCTGGCCTCAAGCAATCCTCCTGCCTTGGCCTCCTAAAGTGCCGGGATTACAGGTATGAGTCACTGTGCCCAGACCAGAGCCTGAACTTGTAACAACAATGCTATACCTACTTTAACTAAGAAAGAATATAATAGCAAAAAGGAAAACAGCAACCAGCAATCTTTGAATACACTGAATTAAAAACTTTTTCAGTGCAATCAATTTTTGTAGAGTGGTATGGTTAGGCCTTGTGTCCCCAGCCAAATCTCATCTTGAATTGTAATCCCCATAATCCCCATGTGTCAAGGGAGAGGTGGAAGGGGGGCAGTATCCTCCATGTTGTTCTCGTGATCGTGAGTTCTCATGAGATCTGATGGTTTTATAAGTGTCTGACAGTTCTTCCTTCATATACTTGCTCACTCTCATTTGCCACCCTGTAAGATGTGCCTCTTCTCCTTTTGCCATGATTGTTAAGTTTCCTGAGGCCTCCCCAGCCATGTGGAACTGTGAGTCAATTAAACCTCCTTTATTTATAAATTACCCAGTCTTGGTTATGTCTTTATAGCAGTGTGAGAACAGACTAATACATAGAGCCATTTAATTTTTCTGCTTTGCCTCGTAATATAAAAATTGTTGGTTAAAAGGCCAGGTGCGGTGGCTCACACATGTAATCACTGCACTTTGGGAGGCAAAGGCAGGTGGATCACTTGAGGTCAAGAGTTCGAGACTAGCCTAGGCAACAGAGCGAAACCCCATCTATACTTAAAAAAACGAACAAACAAAAGATTAGCCAGGTGTGGTGGCATACATCTGTAATCCCAGCTTCTCAGGAGGCTGAGGCATGAGAATTGCTTGGACTGCGGAGGCACAGGTTGAAGTGAGTCGAGATCGCACCACTGCACTCCAGCCTGGGCGACAGATCGAGCTGTCAAAAAAAAAAAAAAAAAAAAAAAAAAAAGGCTAAAAAAGGGAACAAAACCATTTAACTAAATAATAGTTTTTGTTATATACCTTATGGAAACTAACTGGTTTGCATCTATTTTCTGTCTCTGAAACCCTTCAGGTAGTGTGATCAGTGTTATCCATGCTGGTCTCCAGGACTGCAAATGGTTTTTTTTTTTTACCAGTTTCAGGAAATCACACAAAGTAGGAGAAAGTATTACACTTTTATAACAATTTGAATTTGTGATGATACCCAAGTGCGTTATTGTGTATTTTACAAAAACATTAATCTGTGATAGTCTGGGGAAAAAAAACCTGATGCTTCATCAGAGAAAGGTGTTTTTTTTTTTTTTGAGATGGAGTTTAGCTCGTCACCCAGGCTGGAGTGCTACAGCACAATCTTGGGCCACTGCAACCTCCGCCTCCCAGGTTCAAGCAATTCTCCTGCCTCAGTCTCCCCAGTTGCTGGGATTACAGGTAGGCACTACCATGCCTGGCTAATTTTTGTGTTTTTAGTAGAATGGGGTTTCACCATGTTGGTCAGGCTGGTCTTTAACTCCTGACGCCAAGTGATCCACCCGCCTTGGCCTTGGTGCTGCAATTACAGGCATGAGCCACCACACCTGGCTACAGTTTTCTAAGCAGCACTTGTTAGCAAATGATAGCCCACAAGCCAAATCCAGCCCACCACTTGTTTTTGTATGGCCCATGAGCCAGGGAACATTTTTACACACAATAATTTACAATCAATTTGATGATAGAGAACACTAACTTCGGATTCTAATTAAGTGAAAGGTTATCTTCCCCCAAAGGATTCCATTTTTATTAGTAGATCCATATTATTAATTCAGATAAGCTACATTATAGTTCCCAGGCTTCTGAATGTTTTCTAGAAACTGAGTCAAATTAACTTGGGAGACACTTCAATAAAATTTCAATGCAGTTATCAGAATATGTCACTGGCTATTAAATGACTATAATAAATAGATATTTTACCATAATAAGTTGGAAGAGTCCGTCCAGTAATAGTACTTTTATCTAAAGTGGTTTATAAAGCCAATATGATGAAACTGAGAGTAAAAGCTTTCCTTTATAGAAAATATACAACAATAATCTGGGTATTAGAAGAGATGCCAATTAATACTGAAATATTTAGCTACAGCTACTGCCACAAAAATCAATGTATTTAATTCTTAAATGCATGTTGGTTTAAATAGCAGTCCCTCTTTTCTGTGGGAGTCCTAAAAGTCAGCATATTACAACAAAAGCATAAATCTTGCTCATTATACAAATTGTTAAATACTCAAAGAAATAACAAAACATACTATTTGTACATAGCTAAGAGGATTTTGTTTCTTCTATAAAAATCTAGGCTGGGTATGGTGGCTCATGCCCATAATCCCACCACTTTGGGAGGCTGAGGTGGGCAGATCACCTGAGGTCAGGAGTTTGAGACCAACCTGGCCAACATGGTGAAACGCCATCTGTACCAAAAATACAAAAATTAGCTGGGCATGGTGACATAGGCTGGCAATCCCAGCTACCTGGGAGGCTGAGGCAGGAGAATTGCTTGAACCACGGAGGCAGAGGTTGCAGTGAGCTGAGATCGTGTCACTGCACTCCAGCGTGGGTGACAGAGCAAGACTTCATCACAAAAAAAAAAAAATCTAAAAAATATCCAATATTTGATATTTCTTACCTCTAAAATTCCTTTCCTTTTCTTTTCTTCACTGTCTGTGAATCCACTTATGATTTGATAACAGTCTTTACAAACTTTGTTCAATTTACCACCATCATATTCAAGTTGAGCTTTGTAGTCCGAGCATTTCCAACAAACCACCTTAAATTTAAGAGAAAAACGAACAGTAATCATATTTAAAGGACACAATTTAAGCAATAATCAATTATAGGCAATAATGAACGAGAAAGTGTTAAGCATCCAAGGCAGATTTTTGTTAGAAAAGGAACATCCCTATAAACAATAGACGTAGGGTGTTTCAACTGTGTTTGGAAGGAGCTCTGCTCACTCATCCTTCTTTTCCTAGCCTCTAAAGGTAGAAGACCCTCAAAGGCTTAGTCTAGACTTTGACTCTTCATACTTCTGAATGTTCGTCAATATCCTCTCCAAACTGCTCATGACCTTCCCTGCTCTGAATCCACCCAACCCCCTCCTCCCAACCCGGTCTCCTCTCAGTCCTTTCTATTGCAGGAAATGGGGCAGTCATACAACTAGTCCTGTGTCTGACACATAGGAGTCATCTCCAAAACCTTTCAATCTCACCCATAGATTTTCTATTTTACAATGTCCCACTGATTTTACTTTCTAAATATTTCTTCAGTCCATTTTTCCACAACTTCTTTATAACCACCCAAGTCCATTTCCAGGCCTCCACTCTTATACCTCCTCCAAGCTATATCTTCTAAACAGTGGAGTGATGCCCCTCTTAAAGATGCTAATCTGGGCTGGGCACAATGGCTCACACCTGTAATCCCAGCACATTGGGAGGTGGGTAGATCACAAGGTCAGGAGATTGAGACCATCCTGGCCAACATGGTGAAACACCATCTCTACTAAAAGTACAAAACTTAGCCAGGTGTGGTGGTATGTGCCTGTAGGCCCATCTGTCCAGCCTGGGCGACAGAACAAGATTCTGTATAAAAAAAAAAAAAAAAAAGAATGCTAATCTGCGTCAAGTGTGGTGGCTCCTGTAATCCCAGCACTTTGGGAGGCCAAGAAGGGCAGATTACCTGAGTCTAGGAGTTCTAGACCAGCCTAGGTGGAGCTTGTGCTACTGTACTCTATCCTGGGTGACAGGGTAAGACCCAGTCTCAAAAAAAAAAGCTACTCTGATTTATTCCTCCTCTATTTAAAATCCTTCACTCTTTCCTTTGCTCTTGGCTAAAGAACCAATTTTTAATCATGGCCTACAAAGTCCTGCATAATTTGCCTTCTTTCTGGTCTTTCTGGGCTGTGTCCTCAGTGACACTGGCTTCTTATAGTTCCCAAAGGCCATGCTCTCTGCCTTTCTCCTCTCTGCTTCACTGAGTTAACTTTTGGTTTCCCTTCAGATGTTGGCTCAAATTCCAGCTCCTCAATGAGGACTCCTCCAAATCCCGGAAGACAGCATGTCTCCTGTCAGTGTTCCCTGCATTTTCTTTCATAGCAATGATTACAGTTTTTCATTTTATTCTTGTATGATTATTTGATTGTTTATTTCCCTTACAGGGCTGTAAGCTCCAAGGGAGACTGTCTTTGATTATTTTGCTCAACAGACACATAATAAACGTTCACAGACTGCAAATGAATGAATACAACGCAAATGTATATTTCTTAGTGGTCACTTTTTTCTTTTTTGAGACGGAGTTTCACTCTTGGTACCCAGGCTGGAGTGCAATGGCGTGATCTCGGCTCACCACAACCTCCGCCTCCCGGGTTGAGGCAATTCTCCTGCCTCAGCCTCCTGAGTAGCTGGGATTACAGGCACACGCCACCATGCCCAACTAATTTTTTGTATTTTAGTAGAGACAGGGTTTCACCATGTTGACCAGGATGGTCTCGATCTCTTGACCTTGTGAGCCACCCGCCTCGGCCTCCCAAAATGCTGGGATTACAGGCGTGAGCCACTGCCTCCGGCCACTTTTTTCTATTATAGGATTTGTTTAAAATCTTCTAGTTTAATATTTTCTTCCTTTTATAGAAGTACATTTCCCCCTCAATTTATAGTAGACAAATTGTATTAAAGAAGATATATCATTTAAATTTTTGTTGTGGGTTTATAGCATTTGAAATTCAAGATAAGAATGGTCCACTGTTTGCTCATAATTACAATGAAATTACTCTGGGATTGAATTAGACATACTTGTATCTGCAAAGTCATACCGTCCATTTTATTTATTTTCAAATCATAGCACAGTATTTTGACAATGCATATGCAAACACATATTTAGTTTACTGAAAGCAAGTATGCCAATATCGGAAATCATTTCAAGCAAACTTAATGATAGATTTTTAAAAGTCTTATACTGATAAAAAAACTATTTGCTGTCAATTTAATTTTGATCACAAAACTACCTTCTTGAATCAAAAATAAGTCGGAGGAAAATAGGAATAAGCTTAAAAAAACTGTCAATAAGAATTGTTTCACTTAAGCACACAAATTATATATTAGCTCATGACACTGTTAAAAAAAAAAAAAAAAAAAAAGCTACAGCCGGGCACGGTGGCTCATGCCTGTAATCTCAGCACTTTGGGAGGCCAAGGTGGGCGGATTGCCTGAGCTCAGGAGTTTGAGACCAGCCCAGGCAACACAGTGAAACCCCGTCTCTACTAAAATACAAAAAAAAAATTAGCCAGGCATGGCGGCGAGCACCCATAGTCCCAGCTACTCAGGAGGCTGAGGCAGAAGAATTGCAAGAACTTGGGAGGTAGAGGTTACAGTGAGCCAAGATCAAGCCACTGCACCCAGCCTGGGCGACAGAGCCAGACTCAGGTTCAAAAAACAAAAAACAACAAAAAAAGCTACTTGCCAGGTACGGTGGCTCATGCCTGTTATCCCAGCACTTTGGGAGGCTGATGCAGGCTGATCATGAGGTCAAGAGATTGAGACCATTCTGGCCAAGATGGTGAAACCCCGTCCATATATATACACATACTCTTAACTTATTCCTCCTCTATTTAAAATCCTCAGATCACCTCAGGTCCAGAGTTTGAGACCAGCCTGGCCAACACAGAAAAAACCCGTCTCTACTAAAAATACAACGATTAGCTGGGCATGGTGGCACAGGCCTGTAATACCAGCTACCTGGGAGTCTGAGGCAGGAGAATCACTTGATACTGTTCTCTGTGTCTCCCATTCCTTTTAGGAGAAAGGCTATGATCTTTAACTTGGTTTACAAAGTCCTCCAAAAATTGCCTCTCTCCAGCTTCATTCCATAGTTTGTTCCTCACTTTTCTGTATGAAACTCAGCTCAGTAGCTGACCAAACCATGATCTAATCATGTTAATAAGTAGCATCATTACATTTAATTATTGGAAATATTGTTATTAACTTAGAAACATATTTTTGGATAAGGAACTTGAAACTTCATAAACAGCAGGGGAATTTATAAAGTATCAAAGACAAACAAAAACCAGAAAAATTGTAAGTTTTTATAGAAGTTCATATAGTTTTTTTGTTTTTCTTTTTTTTTGAGATGACGTCTTGCTCTGTCACCCAGCCTGGAGTGTAGAGGTGTGATCTTCGCTCACTGCAGCCTTGACCTCCTGAGCTCAAGCGATTCTCCCACCTGAGCCTCCTGAGTAGCTGGGACTACAGGCATACGCCGCCATCCAGGCTAATTTTTGTATTTTTTGTAGAGACAGAGTTTCACCATGTTGCCTAGCTGGTCTCAAATGCCTGGCCTCAAGCAATCCTCCTGCCTCAGTCTCTCTTCAAAGTGCTGGGATTATAGGTGTGAGCTACCATGCTCAGCTGACGTTTATGTAACTTTAGGATATAGAAAGACTATGCAAACAGTCATAATGAAACATATAACCATTATTAAATATGTTTTTGACTCCTGCTGCTGTCGGTATGAGAGATAACTCTGAGAAGAATTTTGCTATAATACAATTGGATCCTGGACAAAATACAGCAAGTAATTGTAATGTTTTATATCTTCACACTAAAGTAAGAGAACTCACCAAGGCCCCCAAACCCAGTGAACAAAAAAACAACAGACATGGCCGGGCGCAGTGGCTCACGCCTATAATCCCAGCACTTTGGGAGGCCGAGGCGGGTGGATCACAAGGTCAAGAGATCAAGACCCTTCAGGTCAACAAGGTGAAACCCCGTCTCTACTAAAAATACAAAAATTAGCTGGGCATGGTGGTGTGCGCCTGTAGTCCCAGCTACTTCGGAGGCTGAGGCAGGAGAATTGCTTGAACCCAGGAGGTGGAGGTTGCGGTGAGCTGAGATCGTGCCATTGCACTCCAGTCTGGGTAACAAGAGTGAAACTCCTTCTCAAAAACAAACAAACAAAAAAACAACAAAAAGACAGACATACAGTAAGCTGAAATTGTAATGGTGGATGAATAGAGCAAATGAGGCTTGGGCTGGGCAGTGCTGGAATTAGGAGACAGTCCATGGGGCCTGAAGGCCATGGGAGAACTGACCCTGAGACTCTGTCATGTCAAAACTTATGAAAGGAAGATAATGGTGGCCAGGCGCAGTGGCTCACGCCTCTAATCCCAGCACTTTGGGAGGCCGAGGCAAGCAGATCACGAGGTCAAGAGATCGAGACCATCCTGGCAAACATGGTGAAACCTCATCTCTACTAAAAACACAAAAATTAGCTGGTCGTGGTGGTGCATGCCTGTAGTCCCAGCTACTCGGGAGGCTGAGGCAGGAGAATTGCTTAAACCTGGGAGGCGGAGGTTGCAGTGAGCCGAGATTGTGCCACTGCACTCCAGCCTGGCGCCTGGTGACGGAGTGAAACTCTGTCTCAAAAAGAAAATTAAAAAAGAAGGGAAGATAATGAAGCATCAACCAAATACAAGCTCACACTGAGAAGAGACTAATTATAGCAGAAAGCAAGCCTCCAGGAACTAGAATTTAGTAGAAACAACAGATTTGGAACCCTTGAAATGTCTTCAGCTAGGCCAGGCACAGTGGCTCATGCCTGTGATCCCAGCACTTTGGAAGGTAGAGGTGGGCAGATCACCTGAGGTTGGGAATTCAAAACCAGCCTGACCAACATGGAGGAACCTCGTCTCTTCTAAAAATACAAAATTAGCTGGGCGTGGTGGTGCATGCCTGTAATCCCAGCTACTTAGGAGGCTGAGGCAGGAGAATCGCTTGAACCCAGGAGGTAGAGGTTACAGTGAGCTGAGATTGCGTCATTGCACTTCAGCCCAGGCAACAAGAGCAAAAATACTGTCTTAAAAAAAAAATGCCTTTAGCTACTGGCATTATTAGATACAAATGTGAAAATTACATTAGAAATGTTTGAAAACAAAGTGGCAAACAACGAAAACTATCAAAAATGATCAGGCAGATTTTGGAAGGAAATAACTTTTGGAAATAATTAAAATAAAAAATGAACAAAACGAACAAAACAAAAAACCAAATAGCAGATTCACTACAACTGAAGAGTAAATAAACAAAACAGGAGACAGAGATGAATAAAATGCCAGAGAGACACAGAGATAGAAAAAACAAGAGAAATGGAAGATGGAATGAAGTGATCTTTTTTTTTTTTTTGAGACGGAGTTTCACTCTTGTTACACAGGCTGGAGTGCAATGGCGCCATCTCAGCTCACCGCAACCTCCGCCTCCTGGGTTCAAGCAATTCTCCTGTCTCAGCCTCCCGAGTAGCTGGGACTACAGGCGCGTGCCACCATGACCAGCTAATTTTTGTATTTTTAGTAGAGACGGTGTTTCACCTTGTTGACCAGGATGGTCTCGATCTCTTGACCTCGTGATCCACCAGCCTCGGCCTCCCAAAGTGCTGGGATTATACACGTGAGCCACCGTGCCCAGCCAAAGTGATCTTATGTACACCTCATCTGAATCCCACAGGGAGAGAATAAGAAAAAAGAGAAATACGTAACAGAAAGACTATATTATAACTTTTCTAAGAGTTAATTTCTGAATCATATAATGGAGAAAATAGAACCTTCCACACATGAGAATTGAGAAACTGTAAGAACAGTATAGGGCTGGGCACACGGTGGCTCATGCCTATAATCCCAGCACTTTGGGAGGCCGAGGGGGGTGGATCACAAAGTCAGAAGTTAGACACTAGCCTGGCCAACATGGTGAAACCCCATCTCTACTAAAAGTACAAAAATTAGCTGGGCATGGTGGCGTGCACCTGTAATCCCAGCTCCTCGGGAGGATGAGGCAGGAGAATTGCTTAAACCCGTGGGGCAGAGGTTGCAGTGAGCAGAGATTGTGCCATTGCACTCCAGCCTGGGTGACAGAGCAAGACTCTATCTGAAAAAAATAAAAAATAAAAAAAATAAACGGTATACAACACACTTCAAACAATCCCTGGCACTTGTACATCATAAATGGTAACTGCTGTTATTTTTCTTTCTGCTCCTCTCCCCTTCGTTTCACCTTACTTCATTATTCTATGTCAATTAATAGCACACTACCATTTATCCAGTCACCCAAATCTTAACATTAAAGTCATTCCTGACTACTTACTTCCTGTCTTCCTCAACTCTTTTTTCATTGAACCAGTTCCCTTTAAAGCATCATCAAATCTAAGCATCTTACCATGGCATCTCTGGCTCTCAATGACCTGATTCCTACCCCCACCATTCCAGCCCCCGTTTTCTGCCAGTCCCTGTCTTGCAGTGCTGACTCTAATACCAAGCAGTTTGTGTCCACCAATACCTAACGTGTATCTTCAGTGTGAAGCATTATTCCTAAGATTCTCAGGAAGCACCATCCTTCAGGCTGCCAGGCCACCAAGGGAAACATTTGGGATCATAGCAATAGGTCTGGCTGCCTACCCTTATCTCAAAGTCCAGCAGAATGCACTCCATGTCATGCCCACTTTCCTGTCTCTCAGGTCCCAGGAAAAGGCCCAGCTCTCTGGCTATTTTCTCAGCCTCATCGTCAAACATACTCCTCTGTACGTAATTTTTTTTTTTGAGACGGAGTCTTGCACTGTCACCTGAGCTGGAGTGCAATGGCATGATCTCGGCTCACTGCAACCTCCGCCTCCTGGGTCTAAGCGATTCTCCTACCTCAGCCTCCTGAGGAGCTGGTATTACAGGTGCCCACCACAACGTCCGGCTAATTTTTTTTAAGTAGAGACAGGGTTCCAGTATGTTGGCCAGGCTGGTCTCTAACTCCTGCCCTTGTGATCCACCTCACTCGGCCTCCCAAAGTGCTGGGATTACAGGTGTGGGCCACCATGCCTGGCCTGTGTACATAATTTAACCTAGTTCATCTCCTACTTTCCCCTCCATGCCCTTCCATTGGGCCCTTTGGAACTTTCACTCTAGAATCAACCTCTTCCATATCCTCAGGCTCTTTTCTCTAGTGGAGGTTCCCCACCGCCCCCACTCCATTTCACCTTCTGTCACCTCTGAGACCTCAGGGCTGAGAGCTGAGGCTTGTATTCCCTGACTCTTTTCTTGCTTCAAAACCCCTAGCACCTCTGAGGCCCGTTATTGTCCAGCTCTACACATCTCCCCTACTGAGTTAGCATCTCCTCATCAGCTGCCCCACACCCATTCACTCAGGAATTTCTCACTAATGGAACATAGTTCTCTGATCTACCCCAATGTCCATGGATTTCAACATTCATGTGACAAGCCCAACTCTACCACCTTATATCCCTGCGGCCAGTGCTGTGCAGTCTACCTTACTATCCAATCTCATGGTCACCCCCAGGACTTTGTCACCAGAGGGTGAACCACATTTGGCAGGCCAGATTCACATATCCCATTTTTTTCACAAACATCTCTCATATTTCTCATTCATTGACCCCAAGATGTCCGCTACCATACATTTCTGAACTTACCGAAATCCTTCTGTCCACCGACCCCACCACAATGAGAACATTAACCATCAGCCCTGCCTCCTAGCTTTCCTGCTCTTTGTATCTGATTGAGACTCCTCTTATTCATTATTAACTCTCGGATGCAAATGCTTCCCTGCTCTTCCAGTGCTTTTCTCATTATACTTACTCTGGATAAACCCTGCTATCTGCCTTCTCTGGCCTGAGTTTCTTTATCTTATTAGAAAAAAATCACTGCCACTAAGCTGACTAGCATCCCTTTAAATTTGTAACTATAAACTTCTAACAGGTAACCAAGTCCATCTTTGTTCCTCTGCCAGGCTCACTTTTCTCTGCCCAGAGAAAACTTTCACACTTAGTCCTCTTTCTCGAATCTCCCCACCTCCTCCTTCCTTTAACTGATGATTCAACTTTGTTCTTTTCAACTTCACTTTCAACTGATGATTCTGCTTTGTTCTTCAGTAAACATATAGATGTTGCACCTAAACTCCCTCATTTCTCATCATCAGAAACAACGAAAATGCCAACTCACCTACATTTGTACCCATTCTTTTCTTTTTCCCTTCTGATATAATGGAGGAAGTTTTCCTCTCCCCATCAAAGCCAGAACTTCCACTTGTACTGTGGGTTCCTTGTACTCTTGTTTCTCATAGAAAAATGTCATTGTTGGCCATTATTTATTTCTCTAATACTCCTCGTCTTTTTCTCTAATACTTCTCGTCCTTCATGCTCCAGCCTCATGACCTTTGGCAGTCTCATTAACAGACCAAGTTCCTTCCTACCTCGGGTCTCTGCATATAGACTTCCACTGTCTGAAGTTTTTTCCCATTTCTATTGATTATTAGCTCTTTCTCAACCTTTTTTTTTTTCTTGTATTGAATAAGAGTTTCATTCTTATTGCCCAGGCTGGAGTGCAATGCTGCAATCTTGGCTCACTGTACCCTCCACCTCCCAGGTTCAAGCAATCCTCCTGCCTTAGCCTCTCAAGTAACTGGGATTACAGGCACAAGCCACCATGCTCGGCTAATTTCGTATTTTTAGTAGAGACGGGATTTTGGTCAGACTGGTCTTGAACTCCTAACCTCAGGTGATCCGCCCACCTCGGCCTCCCAAAGTGCTAGGATTACAGGTGTGAGCCCCTGTGCCTGCCCCCTTTTTCTCAGTCTTTTAAGCATCAACTTAACTACCAACCCCTTAGACAGGTCTTTTATTTCCCAACTAAAATTGGTTCCAAATCTTCCTCTATTACTAATACTGTCCATTTTTAACATTAACTTTTCAATTGCTTTTTTATTCTATCTATAGTAATCTGAAATTCTTATTTGTCTGTCTTCTCCATTACAATGTAAGCTCTGTAAAGCCAGGGAACATTTTGTCTAACAGTTTTTCTCCAGAGCTCAGCACAGTGCTCTGCACATAACTGGCACCAAAATAAACGTATTGATTCAGTGACACATTGAAAGCTATTGTGTGTGTGTGTGTGTGTGTGTGTGTCCCAAGTTGATGACTTTACATCACTTGTATAGTTACTAGCAACCTTAATGATCAAGAAATCTCATTTACATATCCACATGCTCGACAATGATGCCTCCTTCGCGTCAGTGCATTGAAAGGTTCTTTACATTTCATACACATTGTCACTTCATTATCTCGGATCCATCTTGGGGCTCTTTTCCCTAGCTCGGCAGTCTAAAAAGGAAAGAAAGATTCAATTTTAATAGGAAAAAACTACAATTCCCTTTTATGGTTATTATTTTTTGAAATAACTTTAACTGCATTGCTCAAACCATGTCCTGAAACTCAAGAATAAGGTCAGTGCGGTGGCTCACACCTGTAATCCCAGCACTTTGGGAGGCCGAGGCGGGCAGATCACCTGAGGTCAGTAGTTCAAGACCAGCCTGGCCAACATGGTGAAACCCTCTTTCTACAAAAAATATAAAAATTAGCCAGGCACGGTGGCATGCACCTGTAATCCCAGCTACTTGGGAGGCTAAGGCAGGAAAATCACTTGAACCTGGGAGGTGGAGGTTGTAGTGGGCCAAGATTGTGCCACTGCACTTCAGCTTGGGCGACAGAGCAAGCCTCCATCTTAAGAAAAAAAAAAAGAGTAAGAAAAATTCAAAGAAGTTCAAGTAGAATGAAAGGGCACTCACTATTGTGTTCATCTAAGAATGAGATTCTGTCTAAACAGCCATATCTGACATTGTAAAGGGAAAAGGTTGAAGAACAAAATGATTCTGCAACTGCAAAGATATAGAAGAGCTTGAAGTTAAGAATTTAATTCAACTCACAGAAACCTCTGAATGAATGTCATTATCCTTTGCAATTGCATTTCTGAAGGTTTCATGCCTTTGATGAAAAGCATCGATGGTTTCTTGAAGGGCCTAAATTATAAGTAAAATTCAAAGCACACATTCAAGTGTCTCATATAAACCAATGAATATACTTTATCAAACAAATATCTATAATAGGAATCACTTTGAAAATTAAGTGAACCTGCTTTAATGATGACTATATATTAAAATATACACAACAATATATGCACATTGGTGTACACAGAGATGTTATTAAAAAACAAAAGTGAAAATAAGCTGGGCGCAGTGGCTCACACCTGTAATTCCAGCACTTTGGGAGACTTGAGACGGGCAGATTGCTTGAGCTCAGGAGTTCAACAGCAGCCTGGGCAACATGGCAAAACGTCGTCTCTATGAAATACACAAAAACGTTAACTAGACATGGTGGTGCACGTCTACAGTCCCAGATACTCAGGAAGCTGAGATGCAAGGATTGCTTGAGCCCAGGCAGAGACTGCAGTGAGACATGATTGCACCACTGCACTCCAGACTGGGTGAGAATGAGATCCTGTCTCAAAAAAAAAGAAAAGAAAAGAAAAATGACACTTACCTTGATCCATTCTTCCTTGTCTTGTGCAGAACTAAAACAAAACAAAATTAAAGTGAATGCAAAGAACATTAATGATTATTTACATCTGGTAAATGAAACTATGCTTTCATGTTATTCCAACTTTCTGGAAAATTCAGGGATGTTATGGAAGGAATTACAGTAAAAATTAATCTCTTGCAATTGAACAAATGAAATTCTTCTTAAATAGGGATTCAGACTATCTGCTGACTTTGGTACACATAAAATGTGATGGGGTTAGTTAGGTTTAGCTTCCATTAATATACTGTCCTGACATAAATTTTAATAACCATCATCTGGTTAGATATATCAGGTGACTGTATATATAGCATTATACTGAATATACAACAGCTAATCTTCCAGTTTCTAAAACACATGAAGGCGACTAAAGGCTGCTAGTCACAGCCCATCTTAGAACAGATAATAATTATCTTTGACAATCTCAAGTATCTCTTTAAAGCCTTAGGGAGCTATTTAACATTTCCTTTATAAAGAATTTTATTTTATTTTCCAGTTCTTAGGAGGCTTTAGGCAATATCAAACCTAACCCATTTTAGATAAAGAAAAGCATATAAAAAATTTAAATGCCTGGAGGAAGGAAGTTTCACAGACTAATAGACCCAGTGTTCAGAAAAAACATTTCCTTGACTGTAGTCAGGTTCCCCTTTTCCTATAAGCCGAACTTCATTTCCTCTTTCTTGCAGGTAGCTTACAGTGCTGGCTGCTGTCACAGACCGCATTTGAAAGATCCTTTTTAGTGGACTCTAAACTGGGTACAATCTCCAAATTGAAGAATTCTGAAGAGGATCAGAGTGTGCTCTGTGTGTTTACCTGTCCCTGGTAGAGGGGCTCAGTTTCAGTTCCAGCCTGAAGGTAACCTGCCTGATTCCCAGAGGTATGAAATATGCATGAGACTGGCTGGAGGACTGTTTCTGTGTCACAATCTATCTTTCCAGCAAATTACTGAACGCCATGATGTGCCAGGAATGCTGCTGGAATCTGTGTCTGCCAAGTGGAAGCTTCTGCTTATTGTTCAGCTGGGGCTTCAATCTTGCTTTGCAAAATTAAAAATGAAAAACTTCTCCCTACTGCTCTGCCTTGCCCCACAACCCTATGGCCCTGGAAGCACAGTTACTTGCCAGCTGCTTTTAGCCTTTCAAATGCAGAGACCCCAACAATTCCTTATTGCTTTTTGTTTTAGGTAGATTTCTTCCCTCTTTAGTTTACTTATTACTATACTTTTATTTCCACTTAGCAATAGAAAACTATAATAGTATTCTGTATCTAAAATAGAATACTTTTTAAAAGTAGAAGAACAAACACAAATGTATAAGTTCAGTCTTGAGCAAGAAAAGTGAAATTTTTTTTCCCCAGTTAGCTTCAGAATCAAATACTCTTTAAATATCTCCAAATATATGCCCAATATTTGATTCTAATACTTTCTCTGACACTCTGACTTTCTTGGAACTTCAGTGTTTGTCCCATTCTGAAAAGAGCATGATAGGCTGAACACGGTGGCTCATGCCTGTAATCCCAGCACTTTGAGAGGCCGAGGCGGGTGGATCACTGGAGTTCGGGAGTTTGACACCAGCCTGGCCAACATGGTGAAACCCCGTCTCTACTAAAAATAAAAAATTAGCCAGGTATGGTGGCACGTGCCTGTAATCCCTGCTACTCTGGAAGGCTGAGGCAGGAGGATTGCTTGAATCCGGAAGGCAGAGGTTGCAATGAGCCAAGATCGTGCCATTGCACTCCAGCCTGGACTACAAGAGTAAAACTTCGTCTCAAAAAAAAAAATAAAATAAAATAAAAGAGAGAGCATGATAGATCATACTGATAGTAATAACTTAATTCGGATCTTCAAAATCACCATACCAAAGTAAATACAACTAGAGCAATGAGATTAGGTAACTAAGAAATTTAAGACAGAACAACCATGTTTCTAACACGAATTGGAAGGTATCCAGTACTGTGTGTTGGAATGTTATAAAGTGATGACTGCCTGTGCTTAAGAAAATTCCTCACTAATTAGCCCCATCTTGATGAGAAAATAGCCCAACCGGCTAAAGAAGGACTGAAAGTATCCATTTAGACAAACTAAGAAACCTCAGAAGTATCTTCCCTGTGGTTAGACACATCTCTTGGATTTGCAGATTAGAAGTGTGCTGAAATTTCAGAGTCAGCAATGCCTTCATTCTTCTGCAATGAAAACTGTGATGATCAGAACTATTGATGAGGTTGGGTGCAGTGACTCACGCCTGTAATCACAGCAGTATGGGAGGCCAAGGCGGGTGGACTGCCTGAGGTCAGGAGTTTGAGACTAGCCTGGCCAAAATGGCGAAACCCCGTCTCTTCTCAAAAATAAAGAAGTTAGCTGGGCTTGGTGACAGGCGCCTATGATGCCAGCTACTCAGGAGGCTGAGGCACGAGAATCCATTGAATCTGTGGCGTGGAGGTTGCAGTGAGCCAAGATCACATCACTGCACTCCAGCCTGGGCAACAGAGCAAGACTGTGTCTCAAAAAATACAAAAAGCAAACTATTAATGAGTGTTCCCTGTTGCCAGGACCAGTATCTTAGTAAATCAACCACTGAGTGAGGACTCAGTCAAGAGCCTTCAGCATAGCATCATATATTCTTCCCTTGGGTTTAAGGGGCTGGGACCCAATCCTACCATGAGGAGATAGGAAAACCATGACATTCAAAGGCAAGTCTGAAATGCTACCTGCTCCCTAAGGAAAAGGAAGTTCAGTATACATTCTCTGTAGGAAATCAAAGAACTGGCTTTCTTCAAACTTTCCCAGCCTGCCACCTTCCGTAACTATAAATTCACCAATTCTTGGAGGGCACAGATTCCTGTTAAAATGATTTGTTCTCTTTTTAAAATCTGAAATTTAAGCGTTGGCAGTTACTAAATGTAAATATCCAGAATAAATTCATCTGAGCAGCCAGAAACATAAGCTAATGGTGGAAAGGATCAGAAGAACATTCTGAGTCTTCATGGATTCTGGGGTATTAACACCACTACAGCTAGGACTGGTTCTTAACCCTCGGCTCTGTGACCTGCTAAAGCATCCAAATTTTTACCAGGCTAGACATTTGAATAAATAGATGACCGTATTTTTTTCAGACAGGTCTTGCTCTGTTGCCCAGGCTGGAGTGCAGTGGTGGGATCTCAGCTCACTGCAACCTCAGCCTCCTGGGTTCAAACGATTCTCCTGCCTCAGCCTCCCAAATAGCAGGATTACAGGCATCCACCACCATGCCTGGCTAATTTTTGAAGTTTTAGCAAAGACGGGGTTTTGCCATGTTGGCCAGGCTGTCTTGAACTCCTGATGATCTCAAGTGATCCTCCCACTTCAGCCTCCTAAAGTGCTGGGATTACAAGCATTAACCACTGTGCCCAGCCTGGATGACTGTTTCTAAAGCAGGTATTTCAAAACCTGACAGCACTCTATATTCCAGAGGTTCATGCATGAGGTAGCCATGATCAACTGCAGTGGCTCTCATGGGTTTTTTTTATCCTTTAAAAAATGCTTATGGGCCAGGCACGGCGGCTCATGTCTGTAATCCCAGCACTTTGGGAGGTTAAGGCAGGCAGATCACCTAAGGTCAGGAGTTCGAGACCAGCCTGGCCAACATGGTGAAACCCCGTCTCTAATAAAAATACTAAAATTATCTGGGGGTGGTGGGAGGCAATGTAATCCCAGCTACTCAGGAGGCTGAAGTAGGAGAATTGCTTGAACCCAGGAGGCGGAGGTTGCAGTGAGCCAAGATGGTGACATTGCATTCCAGTCTGGGCAACAAGAGCAAAACTCCGTCTCAAAAAAAGAAAAAGAAAATGGTTAGAGTTAGCGGACTGTTAGCCAGAACTCCAGCCCTTTCTCTGCAAATCAATACAAATACAACAAGAGCCATATCCTCCAGAAGTCCTGGTTGCCAGAGACCACCTGAGCCCCTAATGGCTCCCTTCATGCATCCTGCAACTACAGTGGTAGAAGTTTTACCCTTACCACCTTGCCCCTTACCAACATTTCCTTCCATTCAAGTGCCCCATAGCCCCTAAAATGTAGACTCTGAAAGACTCAGAGTTTAGCATGGAATAATAAACATCAATAAACATTTGTGGACCAAAAGGAGGGCTAGAGGAAGGATTAGAGTTAATCAATGTACTCAATGCTTACTGTCTACAAACCACTGTCCTAGGCACTATGAAGGAAGGAATCAAGAGAGAGGAGACATGGCTCCTGCTTTTCAAGAACTTACAGCTCTGCGTTTACATCCAACCAGATTCCCAGAGATCTGCAGCATTCACTTGGGAAAAACCCTCCCCTCAGAGCCATTCTATTCTAATGATTCATTCTGATGCTTTGGGAAAGCAGTGTGATAGAAATGGTTGCCTCACCTGGCCTGCAGTTCCAGTGTTCTCTCTTTCCCAGATACCTGGAAAGTATGTGGATATTCTTCATTTTGAGTCTCCACAATTTTCATTCCATCAATGCCAACCCTGGTTCGAACTGTGAATTTAGAGCCTACCAAGCTGAATCTGGGCACACAGTACAGCAACATGTTATTGAACTGCAAAGAAGGAGAACACATATCAGTAAAGGAAATAAATAGGGGAAACTGACCAATTTTAAAAGTAGCCCTAGATAAAAATTCCAAGTAATTTCTAGAGAACATAGTACTTCCTGCATGAGAAAAATTATTTACTAAGACATTGAGGTTATATGATGTATAAAAAATCATATTCTTACATTTTGAAAAATGTATTTCCCACTCATGGCTCAGACATATTTTATTGGTATTTATGTAATAAATAATTTATACTACTGCACTAGGTAAATTAGTTCAATAAATTCACAACGAATTACTAAGGACCTTTGTTTGATATACCAGGAGCTTAAGTTCTTAACTTTGTAAGTTCTTAAACACAAGAATTTCTCACTGATGTATCTTAGAGGGAAAATCTAATAGGTGTTAGAAGAAGAAAGTAATATTTAGCAATTATTATTATATTTGAGATAGGGTTTCACTCCATCACCTAGGCTGCAATGCAGTGGTGCAATGATCTGCGTTTAAGTCAACCTTCCACCTCGGCCTTCTGAGTAGGTGGGACTCTAGAAACACATAACCATGCCCAGCTAGTTTTTCTTAGTTGAGATGAGCTCTTGCTGTGTTGCCCAGGTTGGTCTTGAACTCCTGAACTCAAGCAATCCCCCGGCCTCAGCCTCCCAAAATGCTGCAATTACAGATGTAAGCCACCACGCCTGGCCTGAATTAAAAATTTTTTTTTGTAGACATAGGGTCTAGCTATGTTGCTCAGGCTGGTCTTTTCTTTTTTTTTTAATTTAAAGAAAATGAATTAAAAAAAAATTCTACTTTAGGTTCTGGGGTACATGTGCAGATCATGCAGGATTGTTGCATAGGTACATACATACAGGGCAGGGGGGTTTGCTGCCTCCACCCCCCGTCACCTATATCTGGCATTTCTCCCCATGTTATCTTCCCCCAACCTTCCCACCCCCACTGTCCCTACCCTCTTCCCCCAACAGACCCCAGTGTGTGATGCTCCCCTCCCTGTGTCCATGTGTTCTCATTGTTCAACACCTGCCTATGAGTGAGAACATGTGGTGTTTGACTTTCTGTTCTTGTGTCACTTTGCTGAGAATGATGGTTTCCAGGTTCATCCATGTTCCTACAAAGGACATGAACTCATCATTTTTTATGGCTGCATAGTATTCCACAGTGTATATGTACCATATTTTCCTTGTCCAGTCTATCATAGATGGGCTTTAAAGACCAGCCTGGGCTACTGTTTACTACAATAGCCCAGACTGGTCTTTAACTCCTGGCCTCAAATGATAATCCCACCTCAGCCTCCTGAAATGTTGGGATTATTGTATGAGACATAGCACCTGGTCAACAATTTTTTTTTTTTTACTAGAGTGTTTAATGTTAAGCTTTTAAAAAATAGCCAATTTATTAGATCAAATCTCATTAGAACATGCGGGGTTTGGACATTAAATCCTACATAAAAAGCAAGCCACAGGACCAAGGTCTGTATGATCACACAGTACTCTTGAACAGTATTATGAATCCTTAAGTCTTGCATAAGAATTTACCACATATGAATTTTCTGAAAAGCCATCAGTTTTATTAGAGGTCTTTAAAGACAGAGTCGTCTTCTTTACAAGATGTACTTTTAAAATGACTCTCATTTTGAAACTGAATCTAATTATGTACAGTCCCTAATTTCTAGTTAACAATTAACACCCCTTGCTGGCCAGGTGAGGTGGCTCACACCTGTAATCCCAGCACTCTGGGAGGCCCAGACAGTGGATCACTTGAGACCAGGAGTTTGAGACCAGCCTGGTGAAATGGTGAAACCCCATCTCTACAAAAAAATACAAAACTTGGCCAGGTGTGGTAGTGTGTGCATATGGTCCCAGCTACTCAGGAGACTAAGGCGGGATCCCTTGAGCCAGGGAGGCAGAGGTTTCTTGAACCAAGATCGCACCACTGTACTCCTACTGGGTAACAGAGTGGACTGCAACACACACACACACACACACACACACACACACACAAAAAGCAAGGGCTATTAACTGCATGAAAAATGGTATGTTAGAAGGCTGATACAACAGAAATTCACATTTGATGACTTTATGAAAGCATTTAATTCATTTCTGAATATTTTAAAACATGGAAAGAAATAAAGCCCTAAATATTTGTGTTAATTTGAGGGCAGATTCCTAAGAGAAGGTCTATACTTATCTTCTTTCTTCATATTTAGTGTTTCTCAAGTTTTTTCTGGGGTTACATATATTTTAAGACAAGAGCAATTAGAGAATAAAATTATGTTTTAAAATTTACTTTCCCAATAGCATGTGGGCTAAACTCAACATGATTTTATTTTACTTGCTTTATCAAGATTTCTCAATTTACTAATTCTTCAAATTTTCTCTAAAATTTTACTTTCAGCTCAGTACTATTATTAGCAGAGGCTCTGAAGCCAGACTAGAAGCACTAAGCCTCCACTCTACCCCTTATGAGCTGTGCATACCCTCATGCCTCAAGGTCATTATCTGTAAAAGTCACAGTTTGCTGAGATTAAATGAAACAAATGTGAAATGTTTAGAACAGTGCTTTGCACAGACTAAGTGCTCAAATTCAACAAGCCTTCTCATTTTATTCTCCTTGGGACTTGAGTCTAGATCTGTCCTTCTAGGCCCTCTGTTCAGCTCCACATTGCTATGAAGACAAGGTCGCTGGGTATGTAAAACCTTCCAAAAAGTTTATGTGACGTTATGTAATAGTCACTCTGGAAGTTTGTTTCTTGCCAGTTGTTTTCGCATTTTGTAACTTCCTGTGGCCAGTGTTAAAAATTTCAGTTCCACACTGGAGAATGTAGAAATAAATGATCACTAAATACATTATAGATATATCCCAAGATATAACCTGTATTCTGGAAAAAATAGACAGAGCCTTCTTTTTTTCTTAAATAGATATGAGGTCTTGCTATGCTGCCCAGGTTGGTCTTGAATTCCTAGGCTGAAGCGATCCTCCGTCTCGGCCTCTCAAATATATCCTCTTGGGACGTAGGCCTTTATCATTAACTGTCTACTGTCGTTTGAGTCTGGCAATGACACCTGCATTTTACATAGATTTTAGAGATCTGAAAAGAAGTTCCACAAGGTTTTTATCACCATCCATATCCTAGTTTGATTAAGGCAACAGCTTGCTCGCTAAGTTCTGGTTAACACTTTTTTCTCTCTTCTATCTAGGCTTTCTCAGAGGATATTTGGTTGAAGCTGTGAATGTTGCAGGAGCTGCAGACTCACCAGCACAAGGCAAAGAGATCACACATTCCAGCCACCAACAATAACCAAATTGTTCCTGCAAACTGAGTGACAAATGTAATGGTATAGCATAAAATTTGTGAGTTATCTGCTACTTGTCCTCAAGCTGGCTTTCTAAAGTTCAGCACTCATGCTGTTTTACAGAAACAAGTCCATGAATATGGATGTTCTTAGCATTTGCCATTTGTAGTTATGCTCACATGACAGATTATCTAATAAATGTGTATGCTTCTCCTTCCTGTTCATGCTTTCAGGACTACATTCCCTCCTTTATATTCTCCCTAAATGGGACTTCACATTCTAAACTGCCAATAATTCTATATTAACCTTTGTTTTTTTTTTTTGAGATGGAGTCTTACTTTGTCACCCAGGCTAGAGTGCAGTGGCACGACCTCGGCTCACTGCAACCTTTGCCTCCCAGGTTCAAGTGATTCTCCTGCCTCAGCCTCCTAAGTAACTGGAACAACAGGCGTGCACCACAATGCCTGGCTAATTTTTTATATTTTTAGTAGGGTCGGGGTTTCACCATATTGGCCAGGCTGGCCTTGAACTCCTGACCTCATGATTTGCCTGCCTCGGGCTCCCAATGTGCTGGGATTACAGGCATGAGCCACCATGCCCTGCCCAATAATTCTATGTTCATCTTAATTAGTTCTGATCACAATCTAATGCTAGTCAATGAACATCCTTTTCCTTTTTGCTTAGGTGAAGGTGGGAGCTCTTGCAGAATATAAACATTGCTTACAAAGATTATGAGGTCATATATAGGAAGAAACCAAGTAGCTAGTCCTGTTCCCTCCATGAACCTTGTGCTCGTAGCAAAAGCCACCAACCACTTTTCCACAAATAATTACTTCCCTCTGGGTTTCCCTTGATATTGAAAAAGAAGTTACAGCAACTATGGCATGAAGAACATTGACTTTCCTTTTGAGGGTAGGAGACTCCCTTTTATTTCAAGCCCATAGCTTAGAAATAGTGATCAGTGAAGCAATCTCGGACTAGCAAAGCAATTTAGAAGTCCTAGGTTGTGATAAAAACCACAGGCCTCAATATTAAAAACACAGGGAGGATCCTCTTTCTTGATCTCTACTGTTCAAGTATTTTTATTTCAAGCCTCTAAAAATATATTTGACTGAAATAACTCAATTTCATTTTCTCACCAGTGACAATTTCAATTCATGTTTGCTTTCAAAGGTAATGGGATACTGGTGGAGAAAATTTCTAGTGCTTGCTGCTCTGTGTTCAAAGATTAAATAAGTTAAGGGAAAAATAATCGGAATCTATCAAGTTACAAGGAAATAAGGAACACAACAACTCCAAAGGGCCAAGGATAAAAAAGTCTTGGGTTGTTTTGTGGGATAATTTGGTGATTTTATTTTTTTTTTAAACTTTCAGATGTCAGATAGTTTATTTCAACAGAGTACCTGCTATAGTTTGAATGTGTCCTATAAAAAGTGTGTGTTGGAAACTTAATCCCTCATGCAGAAGTGTTGGGAGGTGGGGCCTAATGGTAAGTGTTTGGGTCATGAGGGCTCCACTAATCTATGAATTAATCTATGAATGGATTAATGCAGATGAAAAAAGGGCTTGAGGCCATGAGCTGGATTTCTTGCTCTCTCTCTCTCACCATGTGATGCCTTCTGTATGTCATGACGCAGTAAGAGGGCCCTCACCAGATGCCAGCCCCTCAATCTTGAACTTCCCAGCCTCCAGAAC